GTCCTTGGAGAAGGACATCATCATGCTTGGGAGGGTGGAGGGCAGGCACAGGAGGGGAAGGCCCTCTAGAAGATGGATCGATTCGGTGACTGGGGTAATAGGGATGAGTGTGTTGGAGACACTGAGATTGGCACAGGAGAGAACAGAGTTTAGGGCTGTTGTACATAGGATCCCTGTGAGTCACAAGCGACTCGATGGCACTTAGCAACAACAACAACAACATTGTTTACAGAGATTTCACATGTCATCTCCTCTGTGTCTCTGAGAGTAGACCAGAAACAAAGCATTGCTCTTTTGTAGACAGAGAAACATGGATACCATAAAATTAAGCAACTTGTTCAAAGAGATGTGATTATTACAGATTTGAAATGAAGACTCAGTTTACTTAGGGATGCCCTTTCCAGGTCTACCAGACTGCTTCCTTCCATGTGGGGTTCAGAAATCCAGGCTTGGCCTTATGATCTCTTTCATTCAACTATAAGAGTGGTTTGGGTGGTTATCAAGCAATTGAAGACAGTTATTTGTCCATGGCAGGGGCTGGAAGGGAGAGAGTAGGCTTTGGCTGTGCATGTCTCCCCTGGTTTTGCCCCAGCCCCAGATTAGCAGCTATCATATGATTCTGTGCATTTGCTTTCTGCAACAAACCACCCCACAAGACAACAAACACAAAGAAATACATTCCCACAGTTCACTGAAGAGTTTTGAAGATAACTCTTGTCACCAGGCAGAATTTTTCATGCTTGTCAGACCTCAGGAACAACGCTGGTCACTTGATCAAAGAGGGAACTACAGGCTAGGGACGATGTAAGATCTCACAATTCATGACAAAGTCAAGCCAGGAGGCAGGTAGCACAGCTTTGAGGTTGATGCTATTAATACCACACCACAGTCTAGAGCAGGTAATTGCACTTGTTTATTGAGCATCTTCTACGTGCCAGGATTATGACCTACACTTCTCTGAATGGCTTCCTTAGTGGGAAAATTGTCTCCCTTTCACAGATGTGGAATGGAGGGTTTGAGAGAATAGTTTATTTTCCCAAGATCTCATAGCAAGTTGTGGAATGAGTGAGGAGACACCACACTTCTTAACTGAGGGACCATTTCTATGAGGACAACTTAAAAAATGAGGTCACCTCTTATTTGGATGATATTTGGATAAGTATTATTTTTATAGAGTACTTTAGTTGTTGTTGTTGTTATGTGCCATCGAGTCATTTCCGACTCATAGCGACCCTATGCACAACAGCTCTAAACCCTGC